TATACTAGCTTTGTTGATTTTGTTTTCTATGTGTTTATTCCAGTTAAGTTTGCTGTCCAAGGTAAGACCTAAATATTTTACCTCAGAGGATAGCTGGAGTTTTGTGCTGAAAAGACTTGGAAGATGATAGTTATTCAGCATTCGTTTTTGTGTGAACATTATTAAAACCGTTTTCTTTGGATTGACGGTTAAGTCGTATTCCCTGCACCATCTCTCCACTATACGGAGAGCCGCTTGGGTCAGGTCGCACGCTAAGCTTGCTGTCTTTCCCGAGACCAGTATTGTCAGGTCATCACCATAACCTACTGTATAGAAGTGATTAGTATTTAATTTGCTGATGAGTTCATTAATGACCATATTCCACAGGAGAGGTGAGAGAACCCCACCCTGCGGGCAGCCTTTCTTAATTTGGATTGGTTGAGATTCACCAGCAATATTTATTATTCGTGTACTGAGTGCACCTTTTATGCTGGAGAAGTTCGTTCTGTCAAAAGCACCTTCTATATCTATGAAGGAAATTAGACGTATTTCTTTGTTTTGGATGGCCTCTTCAATCTTTGTAATTACCTGATGAAGTGCCGATTCTGTTGATTTGCCTAGACTGTAGGCGTGTTGCTTGTCGTGTAGTGGTAAGTTCATTAGCGCCGACCCCCTTAATTCCCTTTCACACATCCTCTCCATCGTCTTTAGGAGAAAGGATGTGAGGCTAATGGGCCTGTAGGATTTAGGGTCAGTGTAATCGCTCTTACCTGGTTTGGGTATAAATGTGACTTTCACTTCCCTCCATCCCCTAGGAACAAACTTAAGAGCCAGACAGGCTCTCATTATGGCAACAAGTCTGACTATTAGGGCTTTACCCCCCCACTGTAGGAGTGCCGGGAATATGCCGTCAGGTCCTGCCGCCTTATAGGGGAGGAAACTGTGAATGGCCCAATGGATTTTGTCCATCGTTACCACTCTCTGTGCTAAATTCCAGTCTTCTACTGTTGGTGTCGGTATGTCGTCATGCCGGTTTGCCTCCTGGGTTACGCAGCAACCTGGGAAGTGCGTTTCAATTAGGATGCGTTGGGCTTCATCCGGCGATGTTGAGTAGCTACCGTCGGGTTTCTTTAGAGACATGGATCCCGACGTGTTCTGTTTAGCTAGAATATTCCTTATCCTATTTGCTTGTTCGCAGGTTTCTATGTTGCCACAGAATTTACGCCACCCAGTCGAGCGTCGATACCTGATACATTTTTTTGTATTCAGACTTAGCTTTCTTATATAGTAGCCAGTCTTCATCCATTGAGGTATTCATGGCCCTATTTAGGGCTTTTCTTACCTTCTTACGTTTCCTATCGAGTTCTTCACCCCACCACTGTTGCTTTACCTCGGCATGCCTTGGTGGAGTGATTTCTGGACATGATTCATAGTAGCTATCTATTGCGTAAAAATACACTGCAATTCAGCTTTTTTTGTCGGAACTCCATTGAATGATACGATCACTTGCGTAGTGGCGCACGATTTTTTTTTGCGCCCGAAGCAAATATGGGCAACCCTCCGGAAAGCGGGGGAGCAGGTGGCAAGGTGGGGAATGCTCATAGCATACCACGCAGCCGGCTGCGTGGTTATGTGGAGAGTTTTACCCACTAAACTCCACCTTTATGGATTGGCTTACTGATCTGACGAGAGATCCCTAAGCCGTATACGGACGCGACCCTCCTTGGCAGAAAGGAGGGAGCAGCAAATCTGGCGCACGACGCGGAGAAACTAGTTTTATATAACGGGACTCTCGTACCTTTTACATAGGGATATTTTTTTTTATAGAAGAGGGGGCAAACGAGCATGCGGCTCACCTGATGTTAAGTGACTACCGCCGCCCACGATCAACCGCAACACTAGGGGAATTGCAGGTGCGTTGCCGGCCCTTTAGAAAGGAGTACGCTCTTTTCTTGAAGGTCTCCAGGTCGTATCGGTCCGGAAAAATCGCTGGTGGTAAACTATTCCACAGAGAGGTTGTACGCGGAAGAAAACTCCTCTTGAAACGTACAGTGGTGGACCGCCAAGCATCCAGATGATGTGGATGGTATCGCGACGTTTGCCGCGTAGTGCGTTCACGAAATTTGGCGGCTGGGATTAATCCGAACAATTCCTCAGAGCACTCTCCATGGTATATGCGAAATAAAATGCAAAGAGATGCAACATCTCTTCGCAGTGCAGTGAATCGAGCCGATCGGAAAACACTCGGTCGTCGACGATTCGAGCCGCTCTGCGCTGGATGCGGTCAAGTGGAAGGAGCTGGTATTGGGGAGCCCCAGCCCAGAGATGGGAACAGTATTCCATGTGCGGCCGAACCTGCGCCTTGTAAAGTTGCAGGCGGTGTGCCGGCATGAAATACTGTCCCGCTCTGCTGAGCACGCCAAGCTTTTTAGAGGCTAATTTGGCCTTCTCTTCCAAGTGACCACGAAACTGCACGTCACTCGATATGTCGACGCCGAGGATTCCGATACTGGCTGAGGCAACAAGGGGAGTGCCTTGAAACTGAGGAGATACGACAAAGGGGTTTTTTTTAGCGGTTAACGCGCAAACTTGTGTCTTCTGGGGGTTAAACTGGACTAGATTTAGTCGCCCCCAATCCGAGACTCTGTTCAGCAAAGACTCGACTTCAGACACAAGTTTGTCCCGGCACTCGGAGACGTTTTCCTGAGAAATATTGGCTCGGCCGGTGTAAAGAGCATCACCAGTGCTGTCATCTGCATAGCAATGAATGTTACGGGTTTGCAACATATCATTGATATGCAGAAGAAAAAGCGTTGGCGATAGCACGCAGCCTTGTGGAACACCAGCATTAATAGGCTTGCAATCGGAGCTTGCACCGTCTACAACGACCTTGATGCCCCGATCTGCAAGGAAAGCTGGTGATCCAATCGCACAATTTCTCGGGAAGCCCATAGGAAGGGAGCTTCGAAAGAAGCGCTGTGTGCCAAACCCGATCGAAGGCCTTCGCAATGTCCAAACTAACGGCCAATGCCTCCCCCTTGGACTCTACTGCCTCCGCCCATCTGTGAGTTAGGTAGACCAGAAGACCACCAGCTGACCGACGACGGCGAAAACCGTATGGCGGTCACTAATCAGCTGGTTATCCTCAAGGTACCTCATGAGCTGGCAGTTTACAATGGACTCCATTGTTTTGGAGAACAAGGAGGTGATGGCGATAGGCCGGTAATTGGACGGGTCTGAGCGGTCGCCTTTTTTAGGGATCGGGTGGACGAAAGCCGTCTTCCATGATTTTGGGACTACGCCTAGGGAGTAGGAGTACCGGAAAAGACGCGTTAAAACATGTGCCAACTCTGGAGCACACATCCTCAGCACAATTGGGGGGATTCCGTCAGGCCCACTCGATTTGTGGATATCCAGGAAGAGGAGTGTTTTGCGAACCGAGCGCTGTGTGAACTGCACTTCCGGCATGGAGCACTCACACCGCGGGATGGTCGGCGGCGTACTCCCCCCGTCATCGAGAGTCGAGTTTGACGCAAAGAAAGAGCCATGAAGATCGGCTTTCTTCTTTGCGGTATGGGCCAGTGAGTCGTCATCCCTGTGCAGAGATGGAAAAGATGGCTGACAGAAATTCCCCTGGACAGCCTTGGCGAGAGACCAGAATGCACGGGTTCCAGAAGGAAGGCGGACTAGTTTCTCGCCAATTCTGCTTATGTGCTCTGACTTTGCCTTGGCAATGACTCTTTTGAAGGACCTAGAGGCAGAATTATACTTCTTTTTTAGAGCGCTGGTGTTTACATCCCGAGACGCTGATGCGTCAGCCCAGGCTTGGTAGCACTCCTGCTTATAGCATGATGCTATTTTACAGGAGCGACCAAACCATGGCTGAGATTTGCCTCCAATGGGCACCACAGAGGAAGGAATAAAAGTTCCATACCCTGAAGTACCACATCAGTGACAGAATCCGCAACAACATTGGGATCGTCCGGCGAGAAGCAAACCCGCCCCCAAGGGTAGGATGCAACCCCCCCGAATGGGTTCGGTTCCGAGGAGGTGCTGCCATGGGGCGGCAGGCGCTAGTAGGGCCGCGGATGTGTGCGAAAGCGTTCCCGTAGCCCTGCCAATATGCGACAAAGGTGGAACACCATGGGGTTTTAGTCGGTGCGAGTCCGACATAACCCGTCCTTGCCCCCGCGAGGCGGGTATGCGTAGGCATTTCCCCATGCAAAAAAAAAAAAAAAAAGGGTAGGATGCAAAGAAAGACCGCATCCCATCCCAATCGGCTGACCTATAGTGCCAAACACGGCGGCAGCCTGCAGATTGCAACTGCGATTTCAGCGTGAGTGGCACCACACTCCGAACAAGACAATGGTCCGAGGAGCCTAAAGGGGCGTCAACGGAAATCTGATATCCGTCCGGGTGAGAGGTCAGCAGAAGGTCCAACAGGGAAGGTGCATGATCCTCCACATCTGGAATCCGCGTAGGCGAAGTAACCAGTTGTGTCAGACCATATGTCAAGGCAAAATCATGAACAGATCTCCCCGCATGATCGGTTAAACGTGCGATATGCCTTGCGATGCCGTCTCCTTTGATTTAATACTCAAAGGGCTACGCATTGCTAATGAAATTTCTTCTGTCATTGAGTGTTGATTTGCCTATCACAAGCTTTGCTGTAAAAAAAGAGGATAATAATAAATTAATAACATATTATGATTTTAACATTTTCATTCAAATTTCAATTTAAAGCGGTTCAATCTAAAGCCAAAGCTGACATTTCTGCAAATAACCCAAGTTGCTGATTTTCGAGTCTCTGTCCATCTTATCGAATACAAGCGTAGCATCGTGTACGACGATTGATAGATAGTTGGTTAGGACAAACCGAGTACTCTGTTAACACGTTAGCAGGTACATGAGAAAAAACGAATGTTGGGAAGTTGTTAACTAGGTCGATTGTTGACGCATAATTTAACTTCTTCATATGTTGTTTTAAATATTTTTTAACTAACAATTTCGTATATTTTCAGAAAATGGCGAACTACCTCATATGCCGATATATCTGGCAGCTTTGATAATGTGCAGTGGCTTCTTCATGATGTATTTAGTAGAGGAATTAGTACATGTATACATTAGCAATCGAGAAAATAAAACAGCGAATACGAGTTTTACTAGAGTGCTGAGTATCAGACGAAGCAGTGATGTGGCTGAGAACTCCGACGATAAGACTATCGCAACCAAGGAAGTAGAAGCGGGGAATCATCATGAAACCAGTCATATTGCGCTGAACTTATCGGATGATTCTATTGTATCCGCTTTAAGAGGCTTACTCATTGTCCTAGCGCTGTCTGTTCATGAACTTTTCGAAGGGCTCGCAATTGGATTGGAGGCTTCTGCGAGGAACGTGTGGTATGTTATTTATTTTTATTTAATAGCGTTTCAATCTTTTGCTGGACATTGCTTTCCCTCTACCGCTGCATAGTATGCATTTCTTGGAAATTTTGTCCCTACTTATCATGCAGGGTAGATTACGTAATTTTCTTCCCACAGCAACTAAAGTTACGCTCGCCCAGTCTCTACTTCTGCCTATCCTTGACTATGCTGATAGTTGCAATCTTGACATTACCGAAGAGCATCTTAAAAAGCTTGAGCGCATTCAAAACTTATGCATTAGATTTATATTTTGGCTTCGCAAATATGATCACACCTCCAAATTTCGCAAACAGCTCAAATGGCTCCCGGTCCGCTTTCGCAGGAATACTCACATCATCTCCGCGTTGTAAGGCGTGCTGTTTAATCCTTCCACTTCTCTTTATTTAAAAAACCGTTTCCAGTATCTTTCCGTTATCCATAATCGGTTCCTTCGATCCTCCGTCAATCTATCTCTCTCTACATCTTTGCACTCTTCTTCCTTTTATAAGAAATCCTTTACCGTAACTGCTGTGCGATTGTGGAATTCTTTACCTCTCCATATTTGTCGTGCTAAATCTCTTCACTCTTTCAAAAGTCTTGTTAAATCGTATTACTTAGAAGGCTATTAGATAAATTACTTTACCTTTCTCGTACTCTTTTCATTTAATCTATTATATGATATTTTATATAAATTTTCACCAATCTTTATTTGTATATATTTTTATATTTTTTATTATTATTTTGTATACTCCCTTCTATTTTAACTTTTGTTTGCATCAATTCTCTACGCAAAGGTTGTCTGGAAGAAATCACTTTCGGAGTGATAAGATCAGTAGTTACGTTGTACCAGTTCTGGCCCACTAAGTCAGAAGTGGTACAAGTACGACGTTCGTCGTCTCACGATCATTTAAAAAAAAAGGTTTTGGCATGCTCTGAACACGAATCTCCATCTATTTTTGCGTAGGATGAACGGTTCCGGACATTCTGAATCATATCAACATTCCAGTTCCATCTTTTACAATTTCTTTTAAAAAACTCTAGATGATATCGTACAGGTGCTCGTCCGAATGAATCAAAATTTTGACCGACGTAATTTTATCGATATATAAAGCTACCCAATGTGACCCTGGTTTATCATCTGTATCCAAATTGCATATTATAGACGTTGGTACGTGGTTGTACATGGGCAGTTTATTGGCAGCATAAACATTATTTTCTAGAGTGGGGTGAATCTTTTTCAGATGTTGTTGTACATCTAGTGTATTCATGATATTACTGCTATTAGTAGATTATTACAGTATAATCTACTCAATGACTAACATAGGAATGATCAGTTATAATGATTTCTATATATTAAATTGCATTATTTTGTGTTATACAAAACGTATTTGAATCATCAATACACTGAACAAGACGCGACACGAAGTAATGTTGAGATAAGCAACAAAATGTGAGATAAGCTTGTTGACGCATAAAGTTACTATCAATTCCACTGCAGAAATTCTTTAGATTAGAATTATTACTTACTGGTACTATATAAGACCAAGCAAGTGCAGTCATGGAGTTAGTGTATGGTCGTTTGACCGCAGTGAATCTATCAATACTACATTTGTGTTACTTTAATACATCAAAGGCCATGGATGTAAGTGTTTATTCTATTGACAAAGTTACTTTTCTTTCTGTTATTTTCTTACGTGTGTATGATTTAGTGTTAACAAATTATATTTAAATATTTTGTGTGTATATGATTAAGCCGTGGTAGCTCAGATGGTTAGCGCAAGCTGTAAATTTCACAGTACCCGGGTTCGATCCCCACCGGCACCAATTAAATTGTTAATTACAATTTTAAGTGTTTATTCTATTGACAAAGTTACTTTTCTTTTTGTTATTTTCTTACGTGTGTATGATTTAGTGTTAACAAATTATATTTAAATGTTGTGTGTGTATTATATTAAATCGTGGTAGCTCAGATGGTTAGCGCAAGCTGTAAATTTCACAGTACCCGGGTTCGATCCCCGCCGGGAGCAATTAAATTGTTATTTGCAATTTTACAGATTTTATTTAATATTGACAAAGTTACTTTTCTTTTTGTTATTTTCTTACGTGTGTATGATTTAGTGTTAACAAATTATATTTAAATGTTGTGTGTGTATTATATTAAATCGTGGTAGCTCAGATGGTTAGCGCAAGCTGTAAATTTCACAGTACCCGGGTTCGATCCCCGCCGGCAACAATTAAATTGTTATTTGCAATTTAACAAATTATATTTAAATATTGTGTGTGTACCGCATCTGCGAATACTAGAGTAGTTAAAAATTCTTTTCTTAACAATGACAGTCATTAGTTGATCATTAGTGAATGTGATGATGGGAAGTAATGAAGCATTGTTATGTGAAGTTTGTTGGAACAGACATATTTTTAGTCACGTGTAAATACTTTTAACATTTTGGTTCAAAATGACACAAAATCTAAAAAATATTAGATACATCATCGACATGGACAGATTTTACATTACATATCCTCATAAACATTTTCAATGTAGAGAAATGGCTATTCTAGACGTAAAACTATCTAATAAAAATGATGCGTTTATCGATCATTATTTGTTTCGGCCAAGTTATCCTTTCAATTATTTGTCGTCAAAAGACAAAAAAAAACTGTTCGTTATTGTGAAACACACGTGCACGGCATTCCATATTTTGATGTGACCGAAGAATTAAAATGTGCCTACAAATAAGAGAACATCATACCCATATTAAATTGGTATATTAGAAATTTGTGTAAAGACGAAGTGATCGCATACAAAGGTGTTCAACAGAAAAACAATTTTTAAAAATGTTGACGACGAATGATAGAATTTTTAATATTGAAGAATACAAATTTTTTGTCGTTGGGTGTTCTTGGTTTTTTTAAGAAAAATGTGGTTTTTTAAAAAAAAAAAAAAATAAAAATTCAATGATTTGGTAAATGTCATAAATTTAAACAAACGTTATGTGTGTAATAATCATGTATTTGCAAAAAATAATCACAAAATTTTACATTGTTCTTGTGACGAAGTGTGGGTTTTTTATTGAGGCTTCCATAGGACGCGCTTGAACCAAATCCGATAAAAGTCCTACTCCAGCACTTAATGCCTCCTTACCAATCACTCGAGCACCACTTGAAAGTAAAGGTAAAACTGATCTAAATAACCCCCCTAAGAAGCTCCCAATACCATGACCGCGTTGGTATGGTGAACCCTTATAAATTAATCCAACTCCTGACCCAGCTTGATGTGTATAATAATTTTTATATGGACATTTATTATGATCATGAAGAGAATTCATTATTATAATTTTTCGGAAATGTAGTTTAATACAAACGGTTCCAAACTGGAATGGTATTTTTTTGTCCTGTGCTCGATCTTATAACTATTTCCAGTGTATCGAACTCTCTTCGCATAACAGGTAAGTAGTGAGGTTGAGAGAAAACGTGCATTTTATTTGCACCATAAATGTATTTTGTAGGATCTAATGAAATGACTCTTAGTAAAGGAGTCATAACATCACCCACAATCTGAGGATCGATAATGTCGCAATATAGAAATAGTTGAGATGGTAACAATAAGTGTAAATTAGCAGGATCCTTTCCACAATTTCTCTCTAGGAGATTTTTATTTGGTTCATGGTTGTAAACTTAATTTGGATGATAATGTTACGGATGTTATATTTTTATCCAAAACAGAAATAGACACAAATTTTGTTATTTCATCATAGCGAAATTTCAAGTTCTCTCCGATACCATTTAACACTCTTAAAATATGCTCAACGTTATCATAGTTGGTAGCTGGAATATGTTTTTTGTAGTACACTATGGATGGTTTATCTTCATTAGGCATTAACATAGATTTTGTAATGTATATAACATTTTCATGATCTTGAACAGTAAACATGGTACATGGATATTGAAATTCGATAACTCCAACCGACCATTCGCCTTCTAATTTAAAAGCTTTTGGTAATTTCGTCGAAAAATTTGTGGTCTTGTTATCAGGAAAGTATTCCATTGAGCTATTGCTGAGCAAAGTTAAATAAAAACTTTCTTTATTCATATTTCTTTTAAACTAGAAGCTAAAATCCAACTGTTAAATTTATCTGGATAACCTTTCCACTTCACTAATACTTCTTTTCTGTTACCTGAATAACGAGTGTCAATTATTTTATCTATTTTATATTGTGAGGTGGGGTTGTAAGTGATTTTCTGTAATTCTCTTTCATAAAAAGTACCAACTATTGGTTCATTTTGTAAATCTGTTATTGTATAAACAACCCATGGAGATCTATCAATTATTGAAGATATAATAAATATTTCATCACTCCAATTTGATTCATGTCCTTTTTGGAAAACATGTTTATATTTAGTTATTCGAACATAATCACCCACATTGAAATTTGGTTTAGGTATTTCTAAAGAAAGTTTGTTTGACCGTCTATCATAAAGATTAGTCCAAACTGTCATAATATTGTTGGAATTTATATCACATGGGCACATCTTAATACTAGAGTGAAAGCTGTGATTGTAAGAGTATATCAAATCTTGTAAAACATCTATATATCTATAAGTATTATTATGAGTGAAATAACGCCACATTTTCATTTTTAGTGTTCTTTGAAATCGTTCAACAATACTGGCCTTAATGTCAGGATTGTTAGTGGTATAGTAATTAATATTTTTGGATTTAAAGTATTTTTTGTACATCTCTTGAAACAAATTCTGTACCTTTATCAGATTGTATGTGAGTAGGTGTTAAATTACTTTCAGTAAATATACTTTCAAAACATTCTTTAGTTGTTTCTGAGTTTTTCTTTTTCATTGGTCTTGCAAAAGCATGTTTACTAAATACATCAATAACACAAAGTATATACTTGAAACCATCATTATATTGAGAATAAGTTCGCATATCACTTAAATCAGCTTGCCACATCATTCATTAATATTTGATAGAATGTACCTATTAC